AGCAGGTTTATACTTGTTGTTTATCTCGTCCAGGTTTATTTTCTCCTAGAAAACAAGGAAAAACAAATTCAAACTTGTTAAGGCAATGTCCGCTATGCGGTCTCGCGTTCAGTCATAGAATAAATGATACAAGCACTTTTGATCCATTCTTCTACTTAGAAAGCTAGGGCTTGTGGATCTGCATTAGCAGTCTAAAGATTTGCTTAGAAAGAAAAGAGCGTTTTAACTAGGAAATTGAAGTTTTCGCTATGAATGCTTTTGATTTTGAATTGGTCTTCCTGAAACCATGCTTATAGGCAGTAAACGCGTACAAACACAGTTGGTCAGACAGACGGCTGCCAGTAATCTTGCGAGCAAGCGCGGCTTGTATTGAGCAAGTGGACAGCCGAGGAGTGGTCATTCAAGCATACCCATATAGGAAGATCCGCAAAATTCTGCGATAAGCTCTAGAGTTTCTTCTTTTTTGTTGATCGACATGTTCATTTTGCATTTTTAGGTCTCAGATTGCCCTGGCGGGTTCATCATAGATGTTGGTGAACATTTGCGAAGGGTGAGCTGTCTCACTTTTTGTTTACATTTTTTACCCTTCGAGTGGCTGTCTTTTGTTCTTGAACTTTACCGCAGTTTTTCTTTCTAGCATCTTTTCGCCTCCACCAAGACTGATGACTTCTTAAAAGATGTGCGGCGATTAGCTGCAGAGAATCTTGGTGTCATTGTTCCAATAACGAAGGAAGCTGCCACATTAGACGAATTTGCTCGCACTAGGCTCGGGTTATGTAGGTTGGTTATTACTGCATCTGTTACATTCGCTTTATGATTTCCAGAGCTTTTTTTGAATGGCATATTCTTTTGCAGCCGAGATGATCAAATTACCTCCTATGCCGAATTTAAAGTGCAAAAATACAGTCGTCGTCACGAACAACCCGTGCGTCGATTACTTTGCCTTAGCGAAACATGCCTTGTTGAACGTGATCCAGCCACTTACGCTGTAGTCTGTGCAACTCCTTTGGAACAGGTGTGAGCTGATCTCTATAGTGATCTTAGCAAAATGAAATATAATACTATATTCATGTTTTTTTCCAGATTGTTTGTCTTGTTCGTTTGGAAAAGGATCCACAGCAGTTCGTTGTGGAGTACATGAATGCTGAAGGCAGGGTGTACTCAGCTGCTGAAAGGTCAGTTAGCCATAGTGTATAGCTACTAGCAATGGAACTTGATTGTTTTCTTTTCAGAGATCTTATCATTGCATCTCTTGTTGATGGTATACGTGCTGCTGGAAATGAGCAGGTAAATCGCTAATATATTAATTCTTTTTTGAGACTTATGAAAAATCTTTTTTCAAGGTTTTTGTAACGAGCCATAGGTTTGATCAACCACTACGGCTACTACCTCATGGTTTGTTGCTAGATGAAGATGGTGAATCACAATGCATGCGCCACGTCATCGCGCCTCCCCGTGAGTTAAACTTGCCCTTTTTAGCGTTTAGCTATTCAGAGACTGTATTTTTATTTTTTGTCCTTTACCAATTTTCTCAAGAATCATCTTCTGTTTTTGTACAAATACACTGTGCATGTTTAGCTGGTCTGAAGCGGTCCGATCTCATACGACGATTCAATGCGAATATTCCATACACTGGGTTGACATACTCTGTATCTCAGGAAGGATTTTTCACTGAGAACAAGGGCAAAGTGATTGTTGGTGCT